TAATGTCTATACTTCACATCTATCATTCTAACATTCATCAGAAACGCTTGTGCAGTGCAGCATGCCTCTTTTCTGCTACCTTTCTGTTTGAGTGGAAATGTTCCATGAAGATTTATTGATGAAACATCAGTTGGAGATGTATAACAAAATATTGAGAAAGACTCCAAGACTCAGTTGGTAGAATAGAGCCAGTAGGCGTCTGTCCCCTAGTTTCTTGGAATTTCCTGGAACAATCTGATGACCACGGTGGTTATCGTTGTTGGAGGTGGTGTACTACACAATAGCTGGCACAGTAGCGGGATCACAAATGTATTTAAACCTGTGACTTTTTTGCCCCTTGGGGCAGCACAAACAAGATGTAATCACAGCATTGACATATTATTATCACCATATGGGGAACTATGTTGCTAACATTGCTTGTTTACACAAAGAGCAGTTATGGAGCAACATTATTATTAATTTGAAGCCATGTTTCTGTCCATCCAATGGATAGAAGTCCAGTGTTCACTCTCCTCTTAGCTTTCTCTGAAGAGTCACTGTCCATTAACTCCTGAGGGAAATACCTGGCTCTTAGGCTGCTAAATGCTCCATCATGTTCACCAGCTATTTTATAAAAATGATCTGTCTGCCGTTTGGTGCTGAGTAGGTAGTGTTTGCTGCAAAATAAGAGCATGGTGAATGAGCCAAAACAGTAATATTGAGGGGCTGTAAAATCAAAACAGTGAGCTGAAAAACACTAAAGAGCTGAGGGGAACTACACAGCAGGATAATTATCTGTGTGTTTGTCCCTACGATGACAACCTCTAACACAGGTGTTTTCATTTGATCTGTTGTTAATATGAAAATACAACTGATTATATTGCACTAAATATCACTGCATTAAAAAATAAGCTGGTTTGGGGTCAATATAGCTCCGACACAATACAGGGTTAAGTTTACTCATGTACCAGTGGGTTGTTGTGACTCAGTGCTTTAAACATCTAACACCATATTCTCAAAGACTTGCATTGGAGGAATGTCTCTGGCTGACGTGAAGCACCATGTTTAAGGCACTTCTGTATTATGAAGCGCCAAGTCAGCTATATTCTTCCAGAAAAATACGTCTTTCCCAGTCTCATTTACGACTTGGATGTTGATGTGAACACAATTTACGAGTCAGAAACTCATAAATATGTCAACCCCAATAAGACAAGAAGGCAGCGCGACGCCAAAGCTACTCAGGTGTAAATGTCCTAAACTACTGTCAAGCGGCTCCTGAAGCCAGCAGCAGGCAGAGGTGGAGGGACGACACGAGGAAGAAAGGGGAAGCATGAGTGTAAAAAGCTTTCTTGTTGAACTTGTAAAACAGCTTCATGTGTATTTTCCAGTTTTTTTTTTTAATGCAGATTCAAACTTTATTTAACTGCAAAAGATTGTTGTGCAGTAAAGCAAACCTTTTTAAAGGTTCCACTCAAAGCAAAGCTAAGTGATTGTCTTCTGCTTTCAGGTCTTGTTAATATTATTATGAGAAGGAAAAGCTAATAATTAGCAATGCTCTAATGGAAAGAAAGACAGAGCTCAGCTTGTTCCCCTCAGTGTTTGCAGTCTCTTGCTGCCACACCGCCTCTTTGTTCCCTGTTGATTAAGTGGCCAAGCATCATAAATGCTGCGGTGATGACATGCTGCTCAACAAGTGGGACCCAACTCTAGACATATAAGCACTCTTTGGAAAATTTGCACTCACTACCACCCTCGGAACAAGGAACTTCGATGACGCTGGAAACCTCCCATTTCATCCCATTAGTTTCATCACATGTTTTTGATGCTCTAAAAGGTCACCATGGGGAGACCGGGTGCGGTGTGGTCTCCAGCCAAGCAAAAGTTCACAGCATCTGTGACTGATCCTTCTTATACGTCGCACAGGGAAGGAGTTGCAGAGGGTTTGAGAAGTAGAAATAAAGGCTTAGAGAGAATTTAGAGAGGTTGTGAAAGAGGATGCTTTGGAGAAATGGATAAAGAAAGAGATTTTCAGAGGGGTCATCTGAGAACTTAGCCTGGCTTCTTTTTGCTGGAGTTGTGGAACAAGGTGATTAGAGCAGCAGACTCTACGGAGAGCTGCGGCCGCCGAGTCTCGACTGCTGTGATGACTAAAGTGCTTGGAAAGCGTTATAGAGAGAGAAAGAGAGGGGGGGAAAAAAGGAAAGAAAGGAGTGTAGAAGTTCATGTGTGTGGATGAAGGAATCAGGACTGTTTTCCCATGCAGCCTCTGTGGCCACATTGTCAGGGACTAAATCACATTTCATCCTGATACTGGACCACATGATCTGATCGAGAGATGCTTTATGGATTAAATGGCTGAACTGCATGTGTCAGCAACATTCTCCTTTTATGATAGGAATACATCACTGAGCAGCCTTTTTTTAACTTCTTGTTGGGATTGTTTGTGTTTCCTGTACAGAAATTTGATATATGCCCCTTTGAGTGGGGAGGTGTGTGTTGATCAAATCAAGCTGAGGGCTGTTCAGATTTATGTGAGAACGTGGATGTGACACTGTCACCGTCAGCAGATATTTATACCAATCTTATGAGCATAACAACATCTCCCAGAGCTTTTTTAAGACAAACAACTGCTTTTAGAGCGTTCGGGACCTTTATATTAACAAAAACTGAAGGTCATTGTGTAAGTCCAAAGTAAAATTCATGCTTGACTCTGTTTTTGCACGATCACCGATACTTTACTGGATCTGGCACAAATCAGCGTCTGCATTCATGTAAACAATCCACTGTTGCACCCACTTTGTTCTTTGTTGGCAGACAAGTGGTTTTGAGTGGCCAGTGAGAATAATCAAGGTAATTACTAATTACTGACAAAGCTATGGCAGTAATTGCTATTTATTGATCTGTTCTCATTTGGGAGCCAGACCGATTTGCTGTGAGACGTTTACAGACTATATGTGCTCTGATGTTTGGATTGTGATGACTTTTGTTACCTTTTCACCACTAAACAAAAGTTTGAAAATCTATTTTGTTCCCCAGAAAAACCTACTTTAAATGTTCAATATGCATGCACACAAGCCAAGTAAATTATAAAAGGAGTCCTTTATGCAAGAGTTTCCTCTCTACATTAAGTTTTTCCATGACTGTGGTGCAGCTCCTGAATTCCCACAGCGAGTATCTTAATTGGAACAAGCATGTGGTCCAAGTTATCCTTCCTGTGCGAAATGAGCGCCAACTAAGCAATGAGGAAGAAAAAGTATGGTGAGTCGTCGTCCTGGGCACAGAAAGAGAGAGAGAGCTGTATTGGGGGAAAAAAAAAAAGAAAAAATGTTCCCTGACATGAGAGGTTTCCAAGCCCCCTCCCTCACACCCTTCAATGTCTGGCTGCTTCTGAGAAAAGTGAAAACACAACCACGGAACCCCGCATGATGATTTGTACATTTAGATCATCATTTATCATCACTAAAAATCCAGTTCTGACTGTATTTATGTGATATATTAACTGTCTGTACTTGTCTTCTTCTCTAGACTCAAGTGTCATTAAAGGGAATAATTTACATGCAAGTTTCCAAAATTCCCATTCATTAGTAAACTAATGCTCTGTGCGGTTCCCGGAGACCCTGGGCCCAAAAAACTACTTAACATTTTTTTATCAGAGAAGAAAAATTCCCTGATTTTATGAGAATTTCCCATAAATGTGATTTTGTACTAATGATGTGTCAGTCCAATAGAGAAAATGATGTTTTTCTTCTGTTAAACATGGATTTTTTTTTTTACATGCTCTGTATCTCTGATTAGTCTTTTTGGAGTCAGGATCAGGATAGTTTGTTTATATGAAGTCTAACAGAGACTTACTAAGTGATACAAAAGACAAGTAACATCACTAAGATAACATTATACCCATTTCTTTATCTGTGAATGACTTTTTAGCAAACATAATGAAAATATGTGTTCCTGTGCGGCCCACATAACATATAAAACATGAAATATGTCCTCATTTGGTGACTGATTTTGCACTCACTGCTATTATTTTAACACATCCAGCAGTGCGTTTGTTTGGGGAGGATGTGAGGGAGGAAATGAGGATGCAGAGCTAATGTCAACAACACCTAACGGTTAAGAAATTATGACCTAACTTGCACCTGAAGAGGGCGCCATCACAGTTCAATCACCTGACTGAAGAGAGGGGAAAAGGTGGAACAAAGTTAGATAGATAGATAGATAGATAGATAGATAGATAGATAGATAGATAGACAGATAGACAGATAGATAGGACAGCCAAAGAGGTAACAGCCTTAAAAACATAAAGGATTAAAATCATAATAGAAACTGAACAGTAACTCTAAACAGCCCGTATACAACCTAAGCCTCTGGTATACATTTTAATAAAGGTAGCCTATACATGACTCTCTTTTGTCTGCAGGCAAACAATGAGCCTACATCAGCTCCAAACGCCTCCCTGCATCTTTCCACATCATTCAAACGCCGCTTGTCAGACAAGGTGCAGGTAACATCCCGAAGCAAAATCTGACTGTCTCCCCGGCAGCTGGAGAAACGCTTTGTGTGTCTGGTTCTCCGGGTTCTTCTGCACACACGGAGCATCAACCGGAGGAGGAAGAGCCATTGGTCCCGAGTAGTTGATGACGGAGGGTAAGCGCACCGTCTTCTCTAGGAGCGCATTAGCCTATTGCTCTCTCTCTCTCTCACACACACACATACACACACACACACACACACGCTCTCTCACTCTCTCACACACGCACACACACTGCACCTCCGTTCAGTGGGATGAGACCAGTGTGTGGGGCTGGGATGAACCTTTAAGTGTTGAACTTGTGCTCTTTCTGTTATTCTTTTTTTTTTTGTTTTGTTTTGTTTATTTTGGAGGTGGAGACCTGTTAGGACGAGCGCGGTGACTCTCCAGGAGCGCGCAGAGTGGCGCACGCTGGAACAAAAACAGCTCAGTGCACCGAGTGCAGCGCAGGCAGGTTTCCGTTTTAAAAGCAGCAGGAGAGGCAGGAGAGTTACGAGAGTCCACGGGGGTAAGCGGTGTCTGTGCATGAGAAAGACGGGACCCCTCTGTTAAAACGACCGGGACATCGAGAAGAGGAATCAGCGGCGGAACTTGGATATGGCGGGCGTGAAGACGGTCGACCTGCTCGTTGGAGTTGTTTTAGTTTTGCAGTGTGTGGGGAATGTCCGAGCCGAGATCCCAGCCAGTAACGGTAAGAACCTGCACCTTCACCATTAACCAGACCTGATCAGAGTGAGTTTAGCTCCTTTTTCCTTCTTAATGACTCAAGCCCCTGCAGAACAGGCAGGACACAGTGACACAGACAGGTGGAGTAGGTTTGCTTTTGCATGAGAATGACTTCTTTCTGTTTTATGCTCAAATTGCAGCTTCTGGAGCAGCAGAAATCTCTCTGTTTATCTGGTTTAAGTGAATGCAGAGTTTTTGTGTGTGCAACAAAAACAGTAGACACACACCCTCCAGGCTCTTTTACTTCCATTATTTTATTTTTAGGAATCATTAGACAAGGCTGTCATGACCCACTAACTTCCTCTGTTTCTGTCTGGATCAAAGACTTTGTTTCATTCTAATTATCATATTTTCACTACAGTTAAGAGGTTGAGTTAATTGCTGTGCTTTTTTCCATATTTGCTCATGCATTTCCCCCAGGCTGAGCTGATTAGTGCTGTATACTGTACAGTAAGAACAGTGTGGCATTCAGTTAAGAATATGAACATTTTAATCTGGCTCTTTTTGTGTCTTCTGGCATGTTTATGCACGAGATAGGTGCTTTCTCCTCTCTGTTTCCTATCTGTTATGACCTGCAACATCCTGTAACCTAGAAGTGTCATCTTGCTCTGCAACTTTTAAAAGGTTTGAGATCAGAAACCACTGAATAGTGCAGGTGCTTTCTCTGTAGAAGTCCTGCAGAGGAAATGCTGAATAAACTGCATGCTCTGCCCCTCTTGATGTCCTTGATTATAAGACACAGTCCACACTGCAGGACGAGAACTCCAGTGTGAACAATATCCCTACTGTAAAGCCACAGCGTGTGCACCTAAAGTCTCACCCTAATCTCAAATCCACACACACACACACACGCACACACACACACACATACACACACAGAGAGAGCTCAACCTCAGACAGACAGTGGAATAAGTCAATGCCAACATTGGTTCTGTGCATACAGGCGAGCTCTTGTTTCCCAGAGCTTTTATTGCTGGCAGCGAATTTTCATCACGTATCAAATAGTGGTTAGAGAAATGTTCTTCTACTGACAGTGACTGTAAATTAATCCCGTATGTGTGTGTGAGTGTGAGTGTAGCCCACAGAGGAATGTATGGCTCAGTTTGGGAGAGAGAGAGAGAGAGAGAGAGAGAGAGAGAGAGATGCTATCGGCTGTGTGTGACCGTTCGCACTGAGGCACGTGCAAACACACACACATGCACTTTTTTTTTTAGTTTCACACAGTCATACTCAGTCTAATTTATGAATTCAGTCAGTCTCATGGGGGCTGTGCTGCGCTCTGGCTCATTTAACATCAGTGCTTTAGCAGAATACAACAGCTTGTTCGCCTTTGCACAGCCTGGAATTTCGGTTTCAAGTGGAAAAAAAAGGAAGAATAAAGCTTGTTTTAGAGGTTTTTACAGACTGAGGAAAACTCCAAAACAACAACATCTATAAACCAAAAGAGCATTTTCCTCTCAGAGTGCTTCATCGCTCCATCTCCTGAGTGAGCTGGACACGGTTAAACTCCACTCCACCAGTATGTAGGACAGTATTTTTAGACATCTGGGTGAGGTGCTTCCCTTGTCACAGACTGACCTCCACTCTTGTGTTGCTGCAAGGAGCAGCCCCTCTCCTTTCTGAGATAGGGCTGTATTAATAGAGCACAGGTGGACTCCTCCAGTCTCCACAAGTCCACTGAGTTATAATGTACCATTCCTTACTAGAAAAGCTTTCAGACAAGTGTCTCAGCTCCAGTAGAGCCGGAGAGTTGAGGACTGGTTGAACCATTCATTTCCCTCCTTGCATTTATTAGTTTGATGAGCTGTGGAACACATCTGGGCGAAATTACACAACATCCTGTGAGCTCAGTGCATCGTTTTTCTTTCTTTTCTTTTTTTTTTTTTTGTTTTTAAAGCTTTCAGTCTGTGGCTCTGTGATGCTCACCCGGCAACACACTCAGCAGTGGCACACTCAAAAAAATTGTGGCTGATTTTGGGGTTAATTTGCACTCCGGTGCTTTTCTGTGAGCGAAAAAAGAGATGTTCCACTGGCGTCTGGAGCGTGTCTGCATGTGCAATGGGAGAATCAGAGGGAGAGCGTGAGAGCAGTAGCGTGAGAGAGAAAGTCCTGCCTCGTGTAACGATGTGGTCTGATTTAAAAGCCTGTGCTGAGGGCTGTTAATGTGCTAAGATTGTGGTTGTATGTGGAATTTCATTCGTTGTGGATGCTCGCAGTCGTGTTTCTCTGCTTGCTCAGGGAGGCTGACAGAGGGTTAACCCGCTCACAGGCAGCAGCGATATGGACGTCTCCTCATCCATCATGCTGCCAGCTGCTGCCTCTGCAATCATACAAGCACACACTCGGAGGCACATAGTGTGAGGGTGAGCTGCAGAGAAACATGCAGATTGGATCTCAGAGAGTCTGACCTTCATGACTAGAGATGGATTCTGAAAGCTGGTTTTGTTTCTGATCTGGTTCACCTGAATTTGCAGAGCTCAGTAGCCACCAAATCACTTATTGAATCTTTAGTTTTAGTTTTTGCCTTTCTCTGACACTACAGGTGTCTGCAAAGAAAAAGAAAACTCTCAGCGATATTAGGTACGTTTCCATTCGCCTGTTTCTATGCACATTTTCAATTTCGGTGTCAAAAAACCCTGAAAGGAAATTTGAAAAACACTTAACACCTAACAATATCGCAAACAACTTTTTATTCTACGCTGAGGTGGTAAAGTTGGTTTATCAATAATAACGAAAAAACTTTGCAGAATAAGTCATGACGTACAGGAAGCATGTGACTTAGTGGTCAGTGAAGTTTCCTCTCCATTGTTGAGAGGAAAGTTAGCGGCAGGTGAAAACATCAGATCTGTGTGGAGCGATGAGGCTGTCGCCTTCCTCAAATGAATAAGTTAAAAGAAAAACATAAATGTCATATTTCCATCATGTTCTCTACATTGTTGTTGTTAGCTTCAGGTTTGACTCGCGCTCCCCTTAATTATGTCATAACGTTGCGCCCTCTTCTTCTGCTGTGGTTTAATAGCGACTCCCTTAGAAATTAGCACCACCACCATACAAAACTACTTAAAAGGATTCGATAAGCAGATTCCTGAATTCAGATTTGAAAAAAAAAAAAAAGAAGCAATGGGATCCCATCTCCTTTCATGACAAACGCTGCCATGCCGCTCTCCTCTCTTTGTCGTGCTCAGTGGGACAATTCCTAACATAAACTGTCTGCAGAGAAGTTCCTTCAGCAGAATGGGAGGAGCGACTCAGTCTACTTAAGCGAGGAGATTGTAAGCCTTCTTGGAATCTCACCCCCCCTGCTCTCCCTTCTCTTTCTGACATTGCACATTTCAGAACGGACAGAATGAGCCAGCCTCTTTATTGGCCGTCTGAATGACCCGCTGAAAGGAGCTGCCATGAATGGATGACGGGGGTGGGGTGGTATGGGGAGGGGGTTGAGAGACAAGGTGGGGTGGCGGCGACTGGGGTTATTGTGCTGCCCTGTATGCGGCGAGAGCGGGCCATGCCATACATCACAGAGGCAAGGGAGGCCGGGAGGCAGGGTCATCCCCCTGCACCAGCATGCAACAGCAGCACCGGGCTCCTGCATTAGTCACGGCTGGCCCCTGTCGCTCAGCTCCCGCCCCTTTTTACTCCGGGAAGAAGCTCGGTCTGACGGCTTGAGAGGGCTGGAGTTCAATAGTCTCAGAGACAAAGAGCAAAGACGCCACTAGTTAATGAAACTCAGTGCAGTTAAGCTCCTCTTTAGCTTCTCCTCATTGTCTTTCATGTGGTTCAAAAGATCCTTCACTTCCAATTGTTGCATTGCTCTGCCAGAGTTATCACATCCTCGGGGTCGCAGTAATCACTCCCTGGCATTTTCTTCTCTGTGTGATTTGTTTAGTTTATTCAAAGCAGCAAAACTGTGGATCTTGTCCGTCAAGCAAGTTTGAAAAGGTCACGGGCAGGAGCAGGAGACTAATGATGGTTAAAGCGGCCTTGTTACAGATCTGGATGTCAGTGGTTTAATGAGACATGACAAGCATTTTCCATTCATGATAATCATCCCTTTTCTACAGATGATTACAAAGCTGCCAGTCGACCACAGCATCATCCACAGTCAGTTCCGTTATCTGCTCCTCGCTTTGACTCTGCCAAGGGATGCTGCCAGAGGAGAGGCTCGATCATCAGCTGGGGAGGGAAATGAGTGAAATGATTTTTATTTATGTGGGAGGAGTTGCCTTTTTCTTTTGCCAGGAGGGGAGCGTATGAGAGGGTAATGAGCAGAGGGAAGAGGCTTATTGAAATTGACGATTCCCCGTCTGTGCTGACCGGCCACACAGTGCAAGAGAAGATAATTACAGTAGCATAATAACAAAATGTGACACTCTTCAGTGTAGTGAGTGATGACTAACAGCATAGATTATAAGAGCAAAAATGAATGGTAGGAATACTGAAGGATAATTTCTCCCTTGGCTACTCTTATGCGGGTGTTAGCACTGTAGATCATCAGCTAGTTATTTTACTGCTACAATCAATCAGATTAATTTGCCAGTTTGTCAAATATGCATGAAATAGAAACATAGTTGAATCAATCTTTATGTGCTTTTGTTGTGATTTTTATTCACATTGCCAGTGAGGGCACATGAAGAACAAGACAGTAATGTCAGGAAACAGTGTGTGGCCCAAACTCACAGCGAAAGCGAAACTGTGACAAAACATGCCATAAGAAAATACGAAAGATCAGGAAGTCCTTTTTTAATCGTAGTTCGTATACTGAAAAAGAAAAAGGGTGATCGCATGTCTGTCTGGTGAACTAAAGAATGCTTTTCCATTAAGCAACACAAGCAAGTGAAGCTACTGATTATTTTACTCGATTAATTGTTTGGTCTGTAAAACACCATAAAAATGCCTCATTATCTTCAGATGTATGGTTTTGTTCTTTGAATGATCCAAACCCCAAAAATATTCTACTCACTATAG